TTGTCCTCTCTGCTCTCATCATTAATCTCTCAATATAAACTTTGTCAATCTTCTTATGGTTGCCATTACCACTTGGTTATTAGTACCGAAAACAAGTTAATTAGTTCTTGGAATATGATGTATTAACCAAAGTAACTCTTTATTTATTTAGACCGCCAGTGGGCATGAGGAGTATTCTCATGAAGTACAACGATGACACCACTTGCATCCACGAAATTAAAAACACAACGTGCGTGAGCCTGCACTCACGCTCATTTTATTTATAGACAACCAGGTTCAGCATACCTCAATATTACTAACAAACAAATATAATCAACGCGCATCGCTGGCACCAACATCAGCAATCACTTCCCCAGCAGCAGCAGCAGCAGCAGCAGTTGTAGAATTCTGCACAGCAACAATGGCAGCTCCATGCGATCTTTTTTGTGTACTAGTGGACCAACGCGCCGATCCATAGATCACCACATTGCGATCTTTCTGCAGAACGAGCGCGTAATTGCCGTCGGCCCCATGGGTGCCGCTGACCCACACTGGGCGGTTGTTCTGGTTGTAGACAACGAGGTTGCCGTCGCGCTGCATCACGCAACGGCAGTCGTACTCTGGCGCCACGGTGTTGCTCGCCCAAATGGCGATTTCAAATGCGTACAAAACCAAGTTGCAGTCGTTCTGCATTGTGAACCTGTATGGGCCATTTGTTAGGGACTGGTAGCTATAGAGCGCCTCGGGGGAGAGGAGAACGTCACCCGCCGAGCAATATTGTGTTGCGATGGAAAGGCCTAAGATGAGGATCAGGAGAGGAGGAAGAGTCATCTTTGCCATTAATTAATTAATTAATGTTTCTATAATTTGATGTGTGTGATTCCTTTTGGCAAACTTCAACCTCCATTTATAGACGGGGAAGAAGAGATTCCTTTATGCACGTGCACCAAAAAATAAGAGTATTTATCTCCATGGTCCATAAAGTATGTCATATCATCGTCGGAGTAAGAACATAAATCAATCCATTATTTATGGTCAACAAAATATATCAATTTGATAATTTTGCCCTACAGAGACTATACCCCTTTAGTTAATTTCTCTCCACTGACTCTTTGTTACATCCCAGTAAACTCTTTCAGGGCTTTCTTGGCTCCTTTTCTCTGTGGAGATAAACACAAGCACAAGACACGTGTGCAAGAGATGCATGGGTAAATACGTTAAATGATACTTTTCAAAGTAAAAGTGTGGTAGTATGTCGATAGAGTGAGGATTTTAAAGCTCAGATAATTAAGGATGGTAATATGAAATTAATGTGGCTTGATTTAAGGAAAGTCTCCCATCAAACCCCTTTTATTAATAGAGGAATTTGAAGAAAGTGTTATCAGGCGATCGATAATATGTAGACGCAATGACATACAAAGGGTTGTGTTTTTCGAATCTTGGGTAATGACAAACTAGACCTAATTTGAGGAAGGTGTATACCTATGAAAAGCCTAAAAGGTACCCATCGATGTGGATGCAAGCGGCAAATACATTATAAATAATAATAGGGTTTTTCTATAGAGTGCCCATGGGCACTCTACAAGAGAGGAGAGAGATAAAGAGAAGTGAATTACCCTAATTTGCACTAAATTCTATGGATAATTCATTTCTCTCTATCTCTCTCCTCTCTTATAGAGTGTCCATGGGCACTCTATAGAAAAACCCATAATAATAATGCTGCGACACAACGACACCCCTCTTCATTTTGCTTAACTAGCTAGTTGGCTTAATTAATTAATTGATATGTGCCATGCTACGATGGCATGTGTGCTTTCCTTGGCTATTTAATTGTAGACTACATCTCAATGATTAGATCTCTAGGACCCAATTAATTAATTAATGAAATACAACCCTTGTCTTAATGAAACATCATCACACCGACGAAATACGGTTTTTTTTGCTTGCATCATCTTCATTGATTTGTGCCATTTTCACTCCATTCAAACAAACAATAATAAATAACTCATTTCGAACTTCGTGTTCCATGCTCGTTTGAGTTTATTCCTATATAAATGGAGATATAATTAACCCACGCAGATACAATACAGTTTTTCTATAGAGTGCACATGGGCACTCTATAAGAGAGAAGAGAGATAGAGAGAAATGAATTATGCACAGAAATTAATTTAAATTAGGGGGCCAAGAGCTATTAATTTCTCTCTATCTCTCTCCTCTATTATAGAGTGACCATGGGCACTCTATAGAAAAACCGACGGTTTTGATTTTTCTACTTTGTCGTTTCTCTTTATCTCTCTCCTCTGCTTCCTTATATGTAGAAGGAACCAAATTATCAACGACTTCAACTAATAAAGCATATGCAACCATCACATCATCATATCTAACTGGCCAACGAATAACCCTTCTTGATCTATTAGCTGTAATGGACTCCAGAACATGACCTTGTTCCTGAGTCTCAACATCCACTGTATCTTACATCTGCCCATCTGTTAAATCATCTCCTCTCAGTGTCACCTCTATAGGAGCCTCAAAGGATACAATAATATCTGAAGTCTATGGAGTCACATCATACTCACCACTTGCGATATCCCTCTAGTCTAGCCTTCCTCCACATTTGTCTACTTTGTCTATAGAAAACATCACATTAATTTATTGGCTTTGTCTACTTTGTCATTTTCTCATAAGGTATTCTTATTTTATTTATCATTCCATCCACGGGAGGTGCATGGCCTATATTTTAATATGCTATGTATATTTTTTGGCTCTATCTACTTTTTGTCATTTTCTCGTAACGTATTCTTATTTTATTTCTCATTCCATCTACGGGAGGCACATGGTCTATATTTTAATTTGCTATGTATATTTTCATAACAGAGTTAATAAGATGATCTCTATGGTGGGATTTTTAGATCTTACAAAAATCCCGAAAATCACCAAACACACCAAATAGAATCACATTAAATCTAATTGAAAATCCTCAATAGAGAAAAATCACGGGATCAAAATCACTTTCAAATTATAATCTTTTGCACGGATAAAGATTGGCAAACCATCTCTTTCATAATATTCTTGAACACGGTTATATCATCACTATCACAGGATGTTCTTTTTTAAATGAACCCGGCTTCAAAGCTACAAAGTGGTTAAAGCTAGCCGGATGAGTACCTCGAGGGGTGATGTGCCCAGTCGCAATACCTCCTTGCTCTTGGACGAGTCTCCAATTCATAGAGCGCGGGATAGAAGCGCAATGATAATAGGAAATTGGCCACATCCACTCTAGGTTCGGCAGGAAAAGGCGGCGATTATTGATGGCCCTTAACCATTTGTAGTTTTCATCAAACATCCGTTTGGGGTCCATTTTGACAGAGTCTCCAAAAGGAAGGATGGTTTCCTTAAGATTTCACAGTCTGCGGTTTCAAACTTAGCATCTGTAACCAAAGATCTGAGGGTTTCTGAGGAAGCCTGAGTGATAAGTTTCACCCGCTCTTTGTTTGTGTCTTGGAATATCGGATATTCCAAACAAAAGCTAAAGGATGTAATTTTCTCTGTGCCTCCTGAATGACCGAAATAATGATTGAAAGAATGAGGCTCATTGGAGTAGTACACTGCAAATGGAAAAGACAACCAGTTAGTACGAAACAAATGAAAAGGGATTAACTTAAAAACACAGGGTCCAGACCCGCGTCCAAAATTCCAAACGCAGGGACTAGACCTACATTTAGAACTCCGAACGCAGGGTCCAGACTTGCGTCTAAAATTCTGAATGCAGGGTCCAGACCTGCATTCAAAATACAGTATGCAGAGTCTAAATCTGCGTTGTAATATTGTAAACGATGGAGTTAACCATGCGTTTCAAATCAAGGAACACTGAGAATGACCTCTGTCTTTTAACGGTGGAATGTGAATTTCTAGTCAACGATGAGGGCAAAGAATTTGTCGAAATAGGTCATGATCGCCCAAACCTACCATTAATCGAGGAAGTCTGAGATGACGGCTTGGCTGTGTGAACGACTCCGGTGGCTTTGGTCGACGGAGCACTCTGAGAATGGGCGACCTTGGATTTGGAAGCGATCTTCTTCTTTGGAGCCATTCTAACCCTGGTAAAGAGGATAGAAAATAGTTGATGGAAGGTTTAAAAACAAATTTATCCTTCGTTGAAGCGTTAGAGAAGATGAACAGGTATCATGTTAAGTGGCGGACAGGAGAAAAAAAATAAATATATAAAGGTCGAATGACTTTTTGATTTGACCTCAGCAGTTCATTTATATACAGCTGTAGCTGTCAAGTCGGTGTAGGATTTTAGGCGAAAATCCCACCCTGATTTTCACATTTTCAAATAAGTTGTTTCAACTGATGGACGCAACCCCACATTCTGGTCATCAAACGCATGTTTTTAACCCTGCGATTTGGTGCTCGAATTTCAGGCATAGAGAAAGAAAAGTTAACAAATGGCCATCAAGGTGACTAAGGCCGAGAAGAAATTGACTATACAGCCTCTTGGGTGAGTACAGATAAATCATAGTTGATAATACTGATAGAATCAAGCTCGATCCGTCGTGCAAATCGTTCTTCTAAATGGCTTAACATTCAAACCAAGATTAACAAAGCCAAAAGCTGTGTGTTTGGTATCCATCAATACCTACAAGAATCATTTGGTTGGTGTTGTTTACATTGAGCTCACTTCCATGTAAAGCAAAGGAGTATCTCAAAGATACAAATAAATTCATTGTCGCCATCGCTCTTATCACATTGATCGAAATGACTTAGGGTTTAGCTTGTTTGAACAATTTGGATTTAGACGACGGTGGGTGGTCGGTACACTTTCCATCTCATCAGCCATGGCCTTTCTGATCTTGAGTCCTTGTTGAGGTCTTGCACATCGACGGTGGATGTGTTGATTTTTAACAGATTTTGGTTCGCCACCGTCAGTTGTCCTGATTGGCCAGCATCCTGTTAATTGAGCTTTTGAAGGTTAGTGCTTAACAGGAGGAGGAGGCCAGGCAACTTTTATGATGGGGGCTTCCATCGATGAAACCTCCAACGCTGATGCTTTGCTCCCTAGAATTTGGCAAAATCATGGTTTCCCTATGGGAATACCAGGAGTAGCAACGGCGGGACCATCCTGTTGGTGGAGGAGATCTCTTTATTTTTGGAGTTTTTCATGACTGAAGAGCGTTACATGCGTTCAGTAATCAACTAATAGTGCTTTGTCTCGACTTTGAGCGCTGTGTCATCCGAGTCATCATGCTCATGTGTCCGGATTTGCCAAGAAGGCCTTTCGCTCTCGGTTATTCGCTTCCTAGAGTTAGGCAAGTATGGTGGTTCCCCGAAGTACTTTCCCGCCTACGTGTGCAGTCCCGGCATATAAGGAGCTCTCGACGTATGAATAGGTTAAACTCAGCATGCCCGCATACCAGAGCTGAGAGTAATTCACGAGCCGGAGGCCGCAGCAGGGCTCATACTAGTATCTGATGGGGACTTCCTAACATAGGATTTGAATCACTGCCTTCTCTTACGTGCGTGTTATACTAGGGTCGCTTTGATTTGGATGCATTTTGAATGACCTGGTACATTCATATGAATACTAAAGCCCATGTGTAGGGAACAGGATAGATTCCCTACTTTGTGTTTTCTAACTTATGCTTCGTGGTCGAACTAGCTCTAACCTGCTCTGTCGAAGAGATTACAACAAAAAGTTCTTCCACAGAAAATAGTGATATACTACTTCATGCGAGTCACCACCCTCGCGTGTGGCGATAAATCTAAAGTCATTTATCTTTAGTCTGCCATTCTAACTAGTGAGTAGATGAATTCAATTTTTGACTAATATATATAGTGCCTACCTCATTAGGTTTCTTCATTCAACCAGCAGTGAATTTGGCAATCAAA